AATCATTTTATTTCAAAAATTAAATTTAGACTTGACATTGTAAAGACTGTTTTAGTTGAACCAGATGAATGAGAAAGATTTTCATTCATCTGGTTGAATCAGATATTTTAGAGATAAAAGCTCGTGAGTTGCAGCTATTCTACGCTAAAGATGCATCTTAATTTTTTGAGTCTTCACTTTTTACTCCTAGAAACTCCTTGAACTTTCTTTACCAAATACATTTAAAGAGTCTACAGCCTATTTTCTTGTCTGCATGCATCATTAAAAAATAAATTATTTTAAAAGCGCATTTGTTTTAAATTAAAGTTTAAAGTTTTGGTAGGTTTAGCTTTTTTTTGTTACAAATTTTCTTTTCTATCAGTTTTAAACAAACAATAGGTAAACAAACAGGTAAAAAGATAACTATATGGTGCCGCCACAAGAACGTTATCTTTTTGCTTTCCAATTGTATGCGAGTTCTGAAGTATCCCTACACACTAACCAACAGTAATCAAGCATAGCTTCATTCCAACAATCCTGGTATATTTATTCTATTACAGAAATATCATGGTGGAACCCAACTTATTATGTAAAGGTGGAAGAAGAACTATATGGATCTAAGAGTGGTTCACCAACAACATTTTTTATCTTTATTGAAGTTTCTTGCAGATCAGTCTTCTTTTATGTAAACTGAATTTATGTTTCTACTGTCGCTCATACATTGAAATCATTCTACTATCACTCATACATTGAAATCATTCTACTAAATCATTCTACTGTCACTCATACATTGAAATCATTCTACTGTCACACATACATTGAAATCATTCTACTGTCACTCATACATTGAAATCATTCTACTGTCACTCATACATTGAAATCATTCTACTGTCACTCATACATTGAAATCATTCTACTGACACTCATACATTGAAATCATTCTACTGTCACTCATACATTGAAATCATTCTACTGTCACTCATACATTGAAATCATTCTACTGTCACTCATACATTGAAATCATTCTACTGTCACTCATACATTGAAATCATTCTACTGTCACTCATACATTGAAATCAGCAGTATTTAGTATAAACTATAGCGTTTTTCTTTACAGTATTATAAATACTATAAAGCAAAACATTTTTGTAGTGGATTTGCAGAGGACTTTTAACGGTTTTTTTAGCGGTTCATTGGAGTTTTGCTCATCGTTTACTTAGTGAAACATTAGTAGCATCTGCCACTAAAGGTCCACTAAAATGTGATATAATGGCTAATTATCGGCTAGCTGTATTTGGCGGTTGCCATAAATAGTCCATTAAGTAATCGTTACGCAAAACTACAGTGGACCTCTCAAAATGCCTATATAGGTCCAATGATATTCTGCTATTGAATGTTTGCTGGGTAAATGCCAAGCAAACATTGTTTTAGTGGATATGCAGTGGACATATATAGGCATTTTTAAGTGGTTCATTAGAGTTTTGCTCATTTGTTACTTAGTGAAACATTAGTGGAAGCTGCTATAAATGGCAAACCGATAATTTTTCTGACATGTTAATAGAGGCGAGTCATCTACTTTTCGCGGCTTCCACTAATGGTCCACTAAGTAACCGATGAGAAAAAACACAGTGATCTACTCAAAATACCTATATAGGTCCGCTTAAAATTTTATATATAATGTTTTCTGTGTATAATTCATGCAAAAAATTCTTTGAACATTTTAGTATGGATGGCAATTTAGTATAAATGGGTTTCTGAACAAGTGATAAAGAAATCAGGTTGTATTGCAATTAATGTTGAGAAAAAAATGACAACATGCTTAAAATAGAAGTATTTTTAAAGAAATATGATGACAAATACGTATTTGTCATCATATTTCAATCCAATTAGAACGATTAATTGTCTTCAAACAAAGAACGTTTTTTCTTAAAAGAAATTAATCCTCCATATTGTCCAAAATTTAGAACAATTAAAGATCTTTGGACAATTTTGTTTCAATTTGCGTACAAAGGTGAATGAGATGCTATATCTGAGTTAAAATTGGAAAGAAGCATTAAAAAGAAAATTTAAGAACTTAATTTTAATGTTGTCCTTATATAATACTTCAGAACATGAAAAGGAAGGTGAACATGAAAAGGACAATGCGACAATTTGAGGACTAGGATCTTATTTAAATTTGTAATTTGATTTTTGTGTATCGTTCAATGTATTTATTTTATTAAAAAACAAACACTTTGGATATCACTAGTTATATTCTATAACCAGTGATATCTAATTTTGAAAGTTTTCTCAATATTTTAAAGTCATACGTTAATTGCATTTCTGAAAGTAAAGCAATGACTTTTCAAAGGACAACATGTTTTCCATTTGTGTTCAATATAATTGATTTAGCTTTGAAGAAATTTCATGTTTAATAAGGAATATATATATATATATATATATATATATATTTTTTTTTTTCAACTATTTTGAAGTTGAAGCCAAAAAAATTGTTACAGCATTAAGTAGAGCCGATAAATTATCCTGCTCCTCTATATTGATACCAAAATAAAGGTGGTAAGCAGTCTTCACAAGAGGCGTCATGGTTCTTATCTTTAATGAAAATGTTATTTCACCATAAATGTAACAAAATTGTCAAATAAATTTAACTCTTAATGATATTTAATTGTTGTTAGTTTAAATAAATGAAAGAAAATAATGTCACGTACATTGAAAAAGTAATGTCTCTTTATCTTAATACTAAAGTAAATTAGAAAAGATCTGTAAAAGTGTTTCTCGTAATATGTTGTGTCGCTGATCTATGAAACATAATGCAAAGTTTATATGCAGTTGCACCAAAATAATGTTTTTTTTTTTAGGAATATCATTATTTCTTTATTTTCAAATTGGAACAAGGTATCAAAGTACAAATGTGAAAAATTTATGTACTCAAAAACGCGCCCAAAAAAAAAAATTGTATACATTTAATCGTTAATAGGTCTAAGTTATTTTTGTGTATTCTTTATTGATATTAGATAAAAACACAACTCATTGAGTTTAAATTTTAATATTTACATAAGTACTGTATAGAGTTCCACAGAAATTTTTTATTTTATTTAGAATTTTAAATAAAGTAGTATTATTCAAAAAAATCTATAAAAAAATTGTTATTTCATTGTTAAATCATTTTATAATTAATAGAACAGGCATAAAAAAAGAATAAACCTGACTTTTGATGAAGGTACATGACATAAATATGTCATAGTATTACTACACATCTACACGTGATACCCACTATGTTATAAATTTGTCATAAATACGAAATAGTCATATAATATAAATCATAGACAGGGAATATCTCCAGGGAAAAAAGCGCTGGGTTCCATGTGGATTCCCATGTATACCACTCAAAACCCATGTGGGAAAAGTTTTTTCTTCACTGGGTCTACATTTCAGGAACAATTCATAGAATTGGCTTAATTTTGGGCATTTATAAACATTTTTTTCATTTTTTAAAGGTTTAAACACATATGATAACTTATTTTTAAGATACAAGAAATTAGAATAGAGTGGGGGTGACGTTTTTCATTTTATCTTAACTTATATATTGATTTGAAAAAAATAAATAAAAGTCTAAAATATAAATAATTAATAGCTCAAATCTCGAACGCGGTATAATGCAAACCAAGACATTTTTTCAAATCGTGATTTTACTGGTAACTATGCGAACTAACTGGTGATTTTACTGGTAACTAGTAGTGTAGTGGTAGAGCGCTTGCCTCATCTCATTTCTCGACAAGAAGTTCCGATTTCGATCACTACCACGTCCCTAGTAGTACCGCGCTCAACTTGTTTCTACGCGTAGCGGCCTTGTTTGTCAAGGTTTGTATTTTGGAGTTGACAGAGGGTTGTAACCACAACTAATGTAGCCTCCTCAACCGTAGTGACTTTCATGGCCTCAAGGAGGTGAATCAAAATAAATTAATTTAAAAAATAAGTGCATATATAACCATGTTTCAAGTAAAGTACTTAAACACCTCACTTTATTTTTGATAAATTAACAAAAATTTGAAAAAAAAATAATTAATTAAAAATTGAAATATATTAGGTTAAATTTGTTAGAAGCACGATTACTCTTTTGCAAATGCCCCAAAAAGAAAACAATTCTACTTATGATACCTTTTCTGTTCATATACTCATGGTAATTTTACCCTTTGTTTATTCATGATATCTTTCCCCTACATAAATTCATGGTACTTTTTCCTTTCATATAGTTTTGGTTTCTCTCTCTTACAATAGTATACTTTTTCATCACATAAGCACTTTCTATACTTTCCATCACACAAGCACTTTTTCCCATCATATGGTCATGCTACTTTTCTCGAAGATTTAATCATGCTAATTTTTCCCTACACGTAAATTATTATTTTAAATGTAGGGAAAATATTTTATTGTTTTATTTTATTTTGAGGAAACTATTTTATATCATTTTAAATTATCAAATTTTATTTAATTTAATCTAGACTTAGGGGTGCGCTTAGTTTTAAAATATTTCATCAATAATTTTTGGCATTGTAGAATTTATTTTATAAATATATAAATATATGAATTATGTTTATAGCAATTAGAGTTACAAAATCAACAGTTTAGCTACCAGAACACAGTATATATACATATACCATAACATATACCATACATCCAAATACTTTATTATTTGAATAATATACTATTAATAATGAGTCATACTTTGAAAATAAATCATTACAAAGTTGAAATGTTATATAAATACATGAATATATGAAAAAAAATTTATGACATATAAATTATTTTTAACGTTTTGTTTTCTTGGTTCTTTATTTCTTAATGCATTCGGTTCCTGTAGCTTATAGTCGGTTCCTAACTAGTGATTATTTTTTATAAGTAACTAAATTATTGTTTAAAGTTATTAAGGTTTCAGAGTTATATTTAGAATAAGTTTGGAAACCAATTATAATTTTATTATATAAGGTTTAACAATAAATTAATTGTGCAATTTTAAACCCCCCGGAAAAATTGACTATAAGTACTAAATGATCCAATATTTTAACATAAGTTAATTTTTAACATTAGTTAATTTATTGCAAAATGCTTAAGGTAAAGTTATTTTAACATTATTTCCTTCATTTATGAGAAAATCACATTTTTTTGTTTATATTTTGAATTTATCTTTTTTTAATACTACTAATAATATAAGTATTCGACAAAATTGCTTATATTTTTATTTGATAATAAAATTAATAATAATAATCTACACTCTTCTCACGTTTAGGTGTTTCTAGTTTTTCGATTCCTAATTTTGACTGTTTCAGTAGATGCGTACATAAGGGTGTGTTACTATACCAACTGGTCACAGTATAGACGTGATAAAGCCAAATTTCAACCTGAGGACATTGATCCAAACCTTTGTACCCATATTATTTATTCATTTTCAAAAATCACTTCATGTAAGTCTATTTTTCACATTTCAATAATAAACAGAGAGGCTTCAGCTACAACTTAATTTTCTTTTATGCACAAATCGATAAACTTTCTCATTTTAAACGCTAATCGATTTGTGTATCGTTATTGTGAAAGTTTATCGTGCTTATAAGTTTTCGATTTAATTGATGCATATCTTTTTGTAAAAATAATACGATTATTTATGAAAATATAATAATATATAAATAAAAAAAAAATATATAAACATAAAATATATAATACATATTATATAAGTAATAAATAAATTATGTTTTTTTTTTGTTATTTTTTTTGTTTTTTTAAATAAGTATAAAATTTTATTCTATTTTATGTCAAAAGACAACAAGCTTGATATGGTTGAATGGAATGATGATCAAATGTTTGCTCGAATTATGACTCTTAAACTCAAAAACCCAAACCTCAAAATATTGCTTGCCGTTGGTGGGTGGAATCATGAAAATGGTGGGAGACAATTATTTATAAGCTTATTTAATCTTGTTTAACAGTTTGACAATATTTTCTTTTCTATTTTTGTTTTGTTTTTGCTTTTCAATTAATACTTTTTATTTTGTTTATTATATTAAACTTAGTTATAAAAATCATTGTATATATATATATATATATATATATATATATATATATATATATATATATATATATATATATATATATATATATATATATATATATATATATATATATATATATATATATATATATATATATATATATATATATATATATATATATATTTCAGATGCCGTATCAAAATTTTCAACTATGGTGAATAGTCAAACAAATAGAAATGCATTTATTAAATCAACAGTTGATTTACTTCGTCAATGGAACTTTGATGGACTTGATCTTGACTGGGAATATCCTTCTGGTAGAGGAAACTCGCCCCCAGGCGATAAACAAATGTTAGATTTATCCCTTCTAAATATTAGAGCTATATATTAACATGGGCAGATCCAGGAATTTTTTTACATTTGGGTTAAGTAACTTTCAGGCAAAAACTTAAATTTTGTATGCTTATACTTATGTCATACAGTTCGTGACATAAGTATAAACTATAAATTACCCAGTTTACAGTCTGAGAAACAAAATACACTAAAAAGTAGGCGCACTGTCTAAATGTAAGAAATATTGGTTTTTCAAAATAGTATAAGTAACTGGAAGCTACTTAACATCAAGTATTTTAAAATTAAAAAGAGCTTAACTGAAATTCCATAAACTTATGGATCCGCCCCTTATACATACATACATACATACATACATACATACATACATACATACATAAATACATACATACATACATACATACACACATACATACATACATACATACATACATACATACATACATACATACATACATACATACATACATACATACATACATACATACATACATACATACATACATACATACATACATACATACATACATACATACATACATACAAGATATATATGTAGCAGGGGCGAGAAGAAGACTAATATGTCTTATCGCCAAGCCCCTTGATAAATTCCGTAAATATAAAGTTTAATTTAAAAATAAGCATTTCCGTCAAAAGTGCATTCAACTCAAGCGTTTCTAATATTAATATACTCCTCATTTAATTGATAGATCAATCATAAGGATATTTTGCTTTTTAGAAATAGTTTTGTGGTAGATCATTTTTTAGTAATAACTGTCTAAGTTTGGCCTTAAACTCCTTTAACATTGTAAGAGTTTTAAGTTCAGATGTTAGAATTTTATTCCATACCTTTGGTCCTCTAATTGAAATTGATATATATATATATATATATATATATATATATATATATATATATATATATATATATATATATATATATATATATATATATATATATATATATATATATATTGTTACTGAAGGTTTACTATACTTTGTGGAGAACTTGTAAAAGCTTTTGAAGCAGATGCTGTTTCAAGTAATAAACCAAGACTTCTTCTAACGGCTGCTGTTTCTGCATCTTACCTAATTATTGACGCTGGGTATGAAGTTAAAGAATTAGGCTCTTTATTGAGTTTTATAAACTTGATGGCATATGACTTACATGGATCATGGGACAATATAACTGGACATCACACGGCCATGTTAGGAGATGGTGGTATAAAAAAAGTGTTTTTTCTTTATCTACCTTATTTTTTCATTGTCTAATTTGTTGTATAAGTAATGTAAAATGTCGTTTTACTTCATTTGAAAAAAACAATCATATAACTTTTTAATGTTTTACAATTTAAAAAAATCACAAAAAGTTGCCTTATTTAAAAAAATTTAATGTTTAATTATATTCAGGAAATTTACCTTACCGTAATGAGTACACGGTACCATACGCTATTGATTACTGGATCAAACTTGGATTTCCAGCTAATAAAATAGCTCTTGGATTGGCTACATACGGTAGAGCTTTTTTTTTAAATGAAATTGACAAAAACAGCCCAGCATCCCCTACCATAAATAGAAGTTGGAATAAAGCGCCGAAGGGTGACTATACTGGAGAAGAAGGGTTTTTAGCGTACTACGAAATATGCAACATGACATTGAATATTGTACAGGACAATATTGTCGATGCACCTTACGGATATATAAATGACAAATGGATAGGATTTGATAATCAAGCAAGTTTAAGAAAAAAAGTAAACACTCAAATAATAGGTAAGTAAGTATATATTCGTGTTGATAAATTTGTTATCTTTTGTAAAAACAATTTTTAAAATTTAATTGTACTTTGTCAACCTAATAATCAGCGCCATTTTTTTAAATTCACTGTTGTATTTAAATGAAAATTGTTTATTTTATCTTATATGAAAATTTTGTTTTTGAAATTATTCAAATATGTTGCTCATGACCAAGCGACACGTCATATATGACGTACCCTATTTGTTGTTTGGCAAAAATTTGTATTTTAAAAAATTAGTATGAATGAAAATCTGAACAACGGCGAAATGTGAGTCATAAAAGAATCGGAGAATGCAGAAACCACTTTGTCATAGAAATAAGAAAATTCTTTTTTTATGAAAAAAAAGCTTAAATTGTGAGATGTGTAATTACTGAATTGTAATTTGTATTTTCTATTTTTGGTACATGTATTTAATTTTTAAAGCTAAAGGCCTTGCGGGTGCAATGTTTTGGGCGCTTGATCTCGACGATTTTAATGGAAACTTTTGCGGAAATGGTCGTTATCCTTTAATTTCATCAGTTATAAAAGCGTTAGAAAATGTTTAGTGGAAGTCAAATGTTTAGTGGAAGTCAAATGGAGTGGAGTCAAATCGGAGGTGAAAAGAAAGATCAGAAGAAATGATAATTATATTTAATTAAATTATCTATTGTAACATTATCGTTGTAAATACATTTATCAAGTTTAAACAGTTTTAATTTTAATTATAAACACAAAAAAATTATTATTTGGAAATAACAAAAAAGTTGCTATAAAAACACGAAAAAAAAAGTAGAAAAAAACTCATAGTTCTCAAAGAGGGTTTATATAAATAAATTAACAACTTGACTTTTAATAACAAATATAAAAACAACTTGACTATATAAATACAGATAAACAACTTGACTATTTAATAACTTTACTTAATGATTAAGTAAAGTTATTATATAGTCAAGTTGTTTATTATATTTTTTATTAAATAGTTAAATTCTTATTTTGTTCATATAAACTGGATATAGATGTTCTAGCTTTTTTTCAAAAATGATTTATTTTCCAAGAACACCAAGAAATAAACTAGTTTTAATCATAACAGGTATAAATAAAAATAAAATAAATATCAATAAAAATAGCTTCTGCTTGTATCAGTTTTCCTTTCCTATATCTAAAGAACTTTGTTGTACCGACGATTTTGTAATACCAACGATTTTGTAATACCGACGATTTTGTTGTACTGACAAAAGTAAAAAAAATAAAATATTTTTATTACTACAAATATAAAAAATATAAATAAAAAGAGTTTTCTAAAGTTTTTATTCTCGTAAAGTTAAAATATTACTATAAAAAAACGCCGATTAAAAGCAATTGCTTTTATTTATTTAACCGCCCTGCTTTTGCGCGTTAGTGCGAATTGGCATAAATGCGAAGCAATTGCAAAAACTCAATAAGTGCGAACTGGGGTAAGTGCGACAAAAGAATTGGGATAATTGCGCCAGTTCGCAGTATTTCTAAATTTCGCACAAATGAAACCTGAAAGCCTGAGAAAATTTTTTTATTTTATTCTAATATCGTTGAAACTTGAAAAATTGAAAACTTCAAAAGCAACTTACTCTTTCTCACAATTTTATTTTTATTCCAAATAGCAATAATTTTAAAAATTTGTGTTACTTGTTATCGTCTACTATATACACGATATTCAGATTGCAAACTTTAAGTCTGGAGACATTTGACAATTAATTTCAAATTTTTTTCCTCATCAAGTTTTAAACAATTTTCTGTCTCACTAAATTGCAGCTTTAATAACGACCAATTGGCGTTCATCTTTAAGAAAAAATTACTCGTTACATATTAACAGTTCTTTTTTAAAGCTTTAGTCCAATTATTTTCGAAAAACGTCGATAACTTCAGGTTGTTTTTTTGATCGAGGGTCCATGGTCAGAGGCGTAGACAGAATTTTTTGTTGTTCGAGATAGGTAACTTCCAGACATGGACCAAACTCCAAACATTTATATTTTTATACTTACGTCAAATAATAAGGCTTTGCAAAAAATTGCGACGATCGGAGGCTGGGAACAAAAAAGCCCCAAAATTCTCGCCACTCTGCCCCAAACGTGAGAGCAACAAGTTGATGAAATATTTTTGTACTATTCTCAACTAGACTTATATTCATCGATAAATTTTGCATTTTTTAGTAAAATATTTTAGCTTTCAAAAATTATGACCGTATCAAGTTTAAACCCCCTCATTTTGTGGGGGTTACTAAACTTAAACCGTCATAATTTATGGTCATTGTCAATAGCAAGGATTGGAAATATTTGGTGTTGTTTTTAGTCGAAACATTCAATTAGTAAAAAAACGATATATTGTTTAGCCCCTATCATATTGATTCCTGTCGAAAACCGACATTTTTTAAAGCATTACATACTTGGACTAAACTTAAAAAAGCAACACAAAATGCGTACAAATTCTATAAATTTGAGTGCGATTAGACGCTATTTTAAAAATAATTTTAAAATTAAAAAAAAAAAGGTATCTATTTCTAATATCAGTTAAAAATTTTACATGCGTAACGTCACAAACAAACGACGTCAAAAGTAAATCTTCAAATAAATTATTTCAAATAAAAAAAATGGTGCTACAAAAATAAATAAAAATTATTGAAAAACAATGTATGAGGTAATAAGCGTAACTATTATGATATATTATCGACAACGGAAAATTTTTAAAAATTAAACGGTTTATACAATTTCATAATCACAACGAAAAAACAAAGTGCAAAAACAGTATTTAATATAAGCCGAAAATAACTGTTACAGCAATCATAGTAATGGCATTAAAATATATAGAAAAATATGTTTTAAAAAAAAAATATGGTGAAATGATTGCGTGTGTGAATTGAAAATACCTATTTAATTCAGTATTTTTTTCTATTAAGGGAAACTTTCGAGTTTAATATTCAGATATCATATTGGTCATCTCTAGGAAAAAAGCCTGGGCAACTTAACGGCATGTATAAACTTTGAAAAGATTTATTGTATTGGAAAGTTGGTGTTGACAAAAGAAAAATTTTCGAAAGCTCTTTGATCTATTTGCTGAATAAAATTTCTATCTACTGGCGTTAAGCGAGTCGCTTCATCCGTAAATTCCGTATCGAAATTATCATGAGATCGTTTAGATTTCTATATATATAAAAAAAGTATCAAAAAAAAAATTAAAAAATATAATAACAAAACCAGAAAACTAAAACATATAACCAAAAAATATAAAAAATTAAATTTAACAGAATGAACTTACAACTTTAGGTTTAAAAGGAGGCTGTACTTCCATCTTGAATAATTTTATCCAATCAATATATTTAAAAAATGCGTGATCACGAATATCTTGTTCTCCAGTGTCACCAGATCCCAGCCTGCGACTTGGATTTTTTGTCAAGAACTATTTAAAAAGAGAAAATAATAAGCTCGAGATTTATTTGCAATAAAATTGTCTGAAACTTTAAATTGTTGTTGCACCTGAAAACGTATTATGCTGTTGTGGAATATTTAGGTGAAAATGTTTTATACTTTTATAAATATACACACTTTTTTTACACACAAGTTTTTAATAATTTAGTACTTTACTTTTAAATTTTTGCCATTATTTTTAATAAATATTTTATTGTTAATTATAGAAGAATTAGCATAGAAACTGCCTAAAAATTAAATAGAATTAATTTACATAAAAAAATTTTGAATCATAAAAAAGGATTAGTTACTAGCAAACATTCGAATTTCAGCAAAAATAAAAGTATATTATTAATTCAAAACAATGTTAACAAATAATAACAAGAAAGTTCCTTCCCAGGTAGAACAAACACAAAAACATAAAAAATATAAATATTTCTTATATTGTTCTTATTCGTAAAAGCTCAATACTACTACTTTTTATTATCATTAAAAACATATATCTTTTTATTAAAAAACAAAAACAAACTCTTTTAATTAAAAACATTTTCAACTTACTCCTTTTATTATAGAAATTGCTTCTTTAGACAGAGATCTTGGAAATGAAACAGTTTGTTCCAGAACAGAATTGAATAACTCGTCTTCATCCTCACCATCAAAAGGAGGCTAAAATTGGTAATAGTAAAATAACTCATAAATTAAAATATATAAAATAATTTATTAAACTCAAATAAAAAAAGACAACAAATTTTTAATATATTGCTATATACCAAGTAACTGATATGATGAAAATTCTAAATAAATAAATAAAACAAAAAGACAACCTGTCCTGCTAACATTTCATAAATCAAAACTCCTAGAGCCCACCAGTCGACAGAAGCATTGTAAGGTTGGTATGCAATAATCTAAAAAAAGACTTTTTTTTAAATTACTATTTAAATATTTAAAACACTTTTTTTTTTTTATCCATTTATTTAACCAAAAATTGAAAAACTGCACGAGTAAAAAAAAAAGCATTGGTAAATTGAATTAATTTAAAATAATTATAATGATAAAGCTATAATCATAATCACTTTTTTTTATTACTTAACTTAACGCTGCTGCCCATTCGTGTGCATTTACACGGAGTTTTTACTATACTTGGCCGAGTTTTTACTATACTTGGCCTTTCAGTTTTATTATAAATAGGATTTAGCATGCTCTTTCTCTTTATACTTTTGAACTCACATGACGAGCTACTCTCAAATCTTAACAATCTGTTAATATCTGCTTAATCAGTAATAAGATCGAAAACTTTGCTTCACCAGCTTAATTAGTAATAAGATCGACAATTTTTATTTGATAACTTCTGTAGTAAAGGATGAATCTTATGTTATTTTTGAATTGGTAAAGTAACTTTTAAAGTCAGGTAATTTATTTAACTCATGCATTATAAAAATAACACAATTTAAGTCCTATGTCTTTTGTATTAATCTTTAATTTTTAAATTGGAAGACGATGATGACTCTAGAAGACATTGCTTTTTTCAAAGGTCAAGAGGTCAAACTCTTGATAAAGTTAGTGTTTATCTCCAAAACCCTTGCATCTCACACGGTCAACTTTGTGTTACATTTTAAAGAACAAGATCATTTAATACCTTATTTTAAAGAGGTTAAAATAAGATCTGTTTGCTTTTATATAAAAAACCAGATCGTTTGTTTTTGCAAGTTGTTAAAAATTTTTATGAGGTATGTCATTAAATAAATATTACAAAAAAAAGGTTATATTTGAAAAGTTTCTAATTTATATATCTTTCTTAATTAATATAATTATTTATATTTGTGTTTATATGTGTTAAGGTTATATGAGTTATGGGTTTATATTTTGTAAGTGTGTAAATATCTTTTATATATGAGTGTTTCTATGTTTGTGATAATGTTATTTGTTTATAGTTTGTAAGTGGTTATTATGTTGTTTACATGGTTTCTAATTGTTGTGACTTGGTTTTGTTTACAGCAAGATTGTTGCCAAGTGGTGTACTTTGCTATAATGTGTCTTGGCTTTGTTGAGAGCAAAAATATTGTCCTTGCCAGTAGATTGGTGTACTGTCATGATGAAACACATAAATTAAACCTGTTTGTAGTTAGTGCATTTCAAAAATGTGTTAAAAAAATATTGTTGAAAGAATGTGTTTAAATGTTGTTATGCTTTGCTCTTTTTTGTTAACAATTTATGCTTTTGACAATAAATAAATTTTGTTAAAAAACAGGCTTTCTTTTTACTAATAGCTCCTTCCTATTAAAACATTTAAGAATTTCAATTTCCTTTCATTAAATATGTTTAACTTAAATTTATATATATATATATATATAAAGGTAAGTATACAATGTGTTAAAACATAAGTTTTAGTAACTCATTAAATTTATAGGATTTTTTGTATAGAGAATGTTTTTTTTATATTATTATTATTATTATATATATATATATATATATATATATATATATATATATATATATATATATATATATATATATATATATATATATATATATATATATATATATATTTGATAAGTTGATCATTAGCTAATGGTTTAAAAGGAAGTTAGCTGTCGCAATCAAGGTAAGAATAATTTATTTTCTGATCAATTGCAAAGTTTGTTTGCACTGATAGCTTTTGTTTTATTGTTTAGTGTAATAGCTAATTGTTTTGTTTAGTGTAATAGCTAATTGTTTTGTTTAGTGTAATAGCTAATTGTTTAATTGTTTTTGCAATAAATGTCTTTTCTTACAGATTTTATTACCGATTTTGATTTTTTAACAATGCTCTAGAAGAGGGCCCACTCTCATAAGGCGTGGGCTTAAATTTAGGGCAAAATCTCTGCCCCCTTTTTTTTAGTATACTGTGTTGATTCTGTAGAAAGTAAAGTATGAGGAAAGAGAGTGGTGGGAAAAAAAATACGCTGCATCTATAATTAGTAATTTTATAGTTGGTTAATCTACCAACTGTAATTGATAATGCAAATTTAGTTAAATTTTATTTGTAAATATATTCTTTTCTTTAAATATATATTTTTTTGTCATTATGTATAAATAAATTGATCTCAGTTAATACATGTGTATTTTTTTCTTTTTTTAATTCAATTACTTTTTTTAGATTAATGAGATGACTTTTTTGTTCAATATATACATACAATTGAAAACTATTAAAAATTGTTATGTTTTGTTAATTTGTTAATAAATGTGCAAATAAAAATATCTTTAATTTTACAAAGCTATTAGGCATTTTTTTGAAACCACAATCCGTATTTTATCTGCGTGAACGAGAGTCTATGCTAATATCTAAGGTAAACTTCAAATTATGTAAATTATTATAAACATCAAATGTTCTCAAATGTTCCAGATTTACTTTTACTTGAAAATTTTATTACGGCAATATTTGCTTAATTTTGATTTATATGAATTTTTATAATGCATTTGTATGCCGTTTTATAAGGTTTAATAAGTTTTTTGTTTATTAAACAGTGTTGAAAGATAATATTATAGGATATAGGCTAAAGTGCTTCGCGTGGGTTTAAACCCTTTTGTTTTCACACTTAATTTTTTTTAAAATCTTTTTCAATTTTCTAGAATCCAAAGTAAAACAATTTTAAAAGTCTATAGATATTATATGCATATCATATATCAAGATATTATATACTACTACAAACAAAAGGAAGAAAATTTTTTAAAAATTTTTTTAAAATTTCTAAAAACATGAAAACACTAATAGAATTTTGTTGTGCATATGTCATGATAGAGTTTAAGGTTTTAATGTGCTCAATAATAGATTAAGTGTACATATTAAAGAGACAAATTTCTTTTTTATAGAAAAAAGATTTTACATGGAAACTTTCTTTAAAATTAACAGGGCAAGATTCCTAATAACATTCTTCTTAACTTTTAGTTATTTCGGATAGCCAAAACATTTTCCATACATATACAAGGTTAGGAATATATTTGTTTTAAAGCTTTTTCGCTCATACTAAAATTAAAAAAATTTGAAACAATTCAGCTAAAAGCAAAATTAAGAGGAAAATAAAGAAAAATATATTCTAGATATTTTTCTCAAACAATTTTCTGGATTTTTAAAAAATAACCTGGATGATGTATGGAATAAGCTGCTGACGGCCTGAAAAAAAATTAATAGAAACTTATTAAAGAAAAAAATAATAAGGTCCATCCCCATTTTTTTTCTTTTATATATATATATATATATATATATATATATATATATATATATATATATATATATATATATATATATACAAGTTTACAGAATAAAAAAGTTAATTGTTAACTCAAAACAAAGGTTTTTATATTTTCGTCTTTTTTGAAAATTATTGAAATAAAGCGAAATTATTAAAATGTTAGGTGTGGAATAGACTTACCATGACCAGTAATATATTTATATTCAGTAATAATTATACGGGTCATGGTAAATCAGTTATTCCACATATTCAAGTCACCTCATGTTTTTTGAAACTTTTTATACCAATGGTATTTAATTAACACATTTCAAATGGGTATTCTAAATATTTTTTAGACTGGTACTGATATCCAACTCATTGATAAATAGCGATTCGCGCAACGTCTACCAAAACTTTAAAAGTTTTTTAAAGTTAAATATAATAAAAAATTATTTTTCTACCTAATTAAAAATAATTAATTATTTTTCTACCTCTTACTAAAATATATTGAAGTGAGGAATAAGTATAGAAAAGGTCGGTGTGGAATAGATTTAACAAGACCCATATTTTACGGGTCATGACAGCTAGTAAATTAAATAATAAGACAAAAAATATGAAAACATTCAATTAATAACAACAGCAAACAAAAACAAAAATAGTTAGCACCACAAATAAAACAAACTTTACACAAACGAAAAGGCAAACACAAAAACTACAAAATGAAAGCAAAAACTACAAAATGAAAATGCATACACAAAAACTTCTACAAAATAAAAAAATTAAAAATTAATTATCTTTTGTTATTTTTAGTGAAAAAAGAAAGATGAAGAAAATTAATAAAATAGAAAAAACAGAGAATAACAATCAAAATAATTAGCAACAGCACAAATAATACTTAGCATCAACAGCATAAATAATACTTAGCAACAACAGCACAAATAATAACAAACTTTACATGAACAAAAAGGCAAACATAAAAACTACAAAATGAAAGCAAAAACTACAAAACGAAAATGTAAACACAAAAAACTTCTACAAAATAAAATAAAATAATCTTTTGTCTAAAAAAAAAAGCGTAGAAAAATTGCTTTTTTTTTTTACTTTTTAATTTGTTCATTTTATTATTATTTCGAACATTTTCGGCTTCTTTTACTTTTAACTTGGTGCTTTGCTTTTAAGTGATTTTTTTGTTTTATAAATCTATTTGTTCTTTTATTCTTTGATTCATTTTCTTGTTTTTAATTAAACTAAACTTTAAATATATTTAAACTTTTTATTGATAATTTTAATTATTAAATATCTTATAACTATAAACTTTTACCAATATCTTTGATCAAACATCATCAACCATTTAAACATTAAATTCACTATATATATTCACCATGTAATTTACATCATAATACAAATTTATTGCATTTTTATTCAGTCTATAATATTGCACACAATATTGGAGACATAATTTTTATTGCAAATTAACACAAAAAAATAAAAAATGCTAAAAATAAAAATACCTCTGGCGCAATGTAGTCAGGGGTACCACAAAATGTGCGAGTTGTTTTTGGAGGAAATATGTTTTCTTTGCACATTCCAAAGTCTGCTATTTTGATATGACCACTTTGGTCAAGCATTACATTGTCTAATTTTAAATCCCTGTGCAACAATAGAATACAAAAAAACTTTTGTCTCCTAACAGTTAAAAGCTTAATTAAAGAGTGTATTTTTTACAACTTTTTTTTATGTAATGAGTTGTCAATTACTAAATAAAGTTAACATTTTATATATTTTAAAATTTGCACAATACGTGCAACTTATAGTAGTAAAAAATAAAGAAATAAAAGTTTAAATAAAAACTACAAAATTCTCACCGATAAATTATTCCACGTTTGTGCAGAAATAATAACCCCTCAACTATTTCAGCTGCATAAAACCTGTACACAAATATATTTAATAAATTTTATTACAAAAAAAAACACATTCATAACAATCTGTTATTAATGCTGGCAACAGATCAACTTTAATCACCTTGAGTTGTTTCAATGGTATCAGCAGCATAGGTCACAGAGCTTAACCTTCTTTATTTTCAAATCTTTTTTTTTTTTAAAGATTCACTTTTGGAATATTTTTTTTGGGAGGTCTATTCATTGTAAAAAAACACAAATTTGTTGGGAGCATTTTATCTTTTCATAACATTAAGCGAAACCTAAAGATGTCATTTACCTCGTCCAAAACTTGGTAAAAGTTGAGATAGGAATGTTTCTGGCTACTAGAGAATGATCTTAAAATATTTTTATGAATTAAATCCTCCATTAATACCAACTTGTTGAAATTAATATTAATAAGATCTGATTTTTTAAAAGTACTAGCATTATATTCACTAGCATTATATGTTCAATATTGTTTCACTTCTTATCTGTTTTATAGGTGATTAGTCTTTGTACACTTAAATGAGAAGAGAGATTTTTTAGTGCACAAAAAACAATTCCATAAACCACATTTGGATTTTTTGATGTAATTAAACCATAAATATTTTGAACAGTTTTTCTTGTAGCAAGAGTGACAAATATTTGACAGCATTCTGAGCAAAATAAAATTCTTTCCATTAAAAGAATCTTATTATTTTCTTATGACTACTTCTAATATCTTCTAGTATCTATCTATCTTCTAGTATCTATCTATCTTCTAGCATAAAACAGAAAAAGGAAAGGAAGTTGAATAAAGTGAAAGAAGTTGTTATCATGTTTTATTTATTTTTCTGTAACTCTTCAACTTGATGAAAACCATTAAACTAGAAACTCTCTACAGCTTTACTGACACCCTTACCTTTCTGTTTAAAATATAGATTTGTCTTGCAGCTTAAAAACTCTAGACTAAGAATTCAAACTAAATCCAGGGTTCACATCAATTCTTTTGCCAGTTTAATTTATGAACAGTTCTTCTTCCAAAGACAATTTTTATTGCTCTTTTTTTGACACAACAAAAATTTCCCATTTTTTTAAATAAAGTCTTACTTTTTGCAGAGAAATTGTCTAAATTTTGACTAATTTATACAAACTCTTTGAATTTTTTTGCTTCTAAATAAAAGACACTGATTTGGGGCACAAACCAAGTGCCCCAAATCAGTGTCTTTTATTTATTTATTTTTTGGAAATTTTTTTTTTGTAAACTTGTAATTAGATTTCAAAATTCAGAGAATTTTTCTTCTCTTTTATCACTAAAAAATTTCTTTAAAATATATTTTGACCTCTTTTATTTTGGTGATCAAAAGATACAACCAATTAAGTTCACAATTGTTAATTTTTAATTGTTAGAAAAGTTTCTAAAGTTGACATTTACACATACAGACATTTCTACATAATATTATATAAATGGAATATTTACATTTGCATAATTTTAAATTACATAGTGTTATATTGCAAATGATAAAATCATAGCTTATTATCTTGAATATTTCCTTTTTTTTAAATTCAAATTCAATCCTAACAAGACTGCAAGCAACCACTATTAAGTTGGGAGTTACTGGAAAAAAAAGAATAGAGTTAAAGAGCAAGGTTAAGACTTAAAGTTAAGTTGTGGGAGTACGAGTCAGAAAAACATGATGGGAGAGAGTTCCAAAGGGTTAAAGTGTTTGGAAAAAAACTAAACAAATAAAAGTTTTTCAAGCATGCAGGAACAGATACAGTAAAAATTTGAGACTTTGCTGAATGATAAATCAAGCAAAAATGAGTTTATAAATCTATATAATATCTAGATAAATCAAGGAAGAATGAGTTGATGGAGATAGTTCCTTTGAGTAGTAATCATGATAGTATTTGAAGAAAAGATAAAGAGATATAACTTTAAGAGGATGGGAGAGACTCAAACTTACAACTATGTTTACCATGCATTTTTGGACCATGTCTTAAGCAGAAAGAGCATCATTAGAAGAACCACCTAAAATATGACAATAGTATTCCATACAGAGACAAATAAGAGATTTGTAGAGGTAGAGAATGGATAAAAAGAAAAACAACCTTTGCAGATGCTAACTTAGCAATTGATTGTGCAAATGGTTTCCATAAAAGGAATATAGTGAATAATAAACCAAGAGGACTCAATTATAGGGTTGTCAATTATCAAAATAGGAGTGTCGACAGTATCGCTATAGTTGTTTTAGAGGTGAAATCCCAGTAAATGGTATATCTTTAATAAAAATTTCACACTTTTTGGTCTTTTATTTTCTATTTGGTTTTGATGTAGCACATGTTTTTATGCATTTGAGCAGTGGCTGGTATTGGAAAGAATTAGCAATTAATATCAAAAAAAATGAAGTCTGCTTCTAGTTCTGAATCAGAATCTAATTTCATTTTAGTTCTGAAGCAGTAAGTTTGCAATCTAACTTAAAATTATTTAGTACAATTGATTAATTACTTTTTTTGGTTCTCGACTATAAAATTAATGTCCAAGGAAAAAAAAAAAAAAATTCTGTAATGTCATTACTAAAAATAACTAAACAAATATAATATAATTATAAATGGAAGAACTGTTTTTGTTTCTTAACTATAAAATTTACATTCAAGAAAAAAAAAATTAATTCAGTAATTACTAAATTTTTTTACTAAACTTCCTTACTAATTATAACTAGACAAATATAATATAACTATAAATATATACAAAAATATAACTAAATATGTAAAAATAGTAATGCTGCTTATAAATTTGATATAATTGACTTTCTATTTATGTGTAATGTTGCCACAAATCAACAAAACTTTTTTTCAAAAAAAGAAATAATAATAATAAAATAGCAATGTTAAATATGTTACTAAAAAATTTAGTCATTTTTTGAGTTGCAATAAGACAAAATAATGTTAAAAAGTAATGTTTAAAAACCATATTTACAAATAGATAAAACATGAACCTGTGAAAATTGAAAAGCTAATAAACCTGAGGATTTAAAGTATAACCTTTGATGTCTGTTTATTTTGATTAGTTGAATATTTAACTAAAGTTATCCACATTTCTTTTATTATAAATTTTAAACTATTTTTTGAACTGACAACTTAAGGATAAGACATCAATTTATTATTCTTGTTTTATAACCTTAGTTACATTAAATAAATTTTTTAACAAGTAAACTAATTTGCTAACAAGTAAATAACTTTTGATGAAATAATAAAGATACAATTAAATATAAACTAACTTTATAAAAATGAGAAAAAGGAATAAACAAAATTATGTAATGAAGATAATACAATATAATGAAATATTATAGAATCATATAAATATAAAAAATAATTTTTCAAATTTTTAATTTTAAATTTTTTTTATATATATATTATATAAATTTTATATATATATATATATATATATATATATATATATATATATATATATATATATATATATATATATATATTATATTTTTATATATTATATATATATTTTATATTATATATATATTTTATATTATATATATATATATATATATATATATATATATATATATATATATATATATATATATATATATATATATATATATATATATAAATTTTTAAATTTTCAAATTACAAACATTTTTATTAAAAATCAAATAAAATTAAATTTTTTACAGATAATAAGAATAAAAACTAATAAATATAGTTAAATAATAAATATAAGTTATATATATAATAAATAATAAAGATAAAAATATATAAACAAGATAAAGATTAAGAAATAAACAGATAAAGATAGATAAATAATAAAGATATTTAAAAAAGATATTTAATTAATAATATCTACAAATATATAATATAAATATAGAAGTAAAATGTATAAATAAAGGAACACATGTTTGAGAAAAAATATCGAGCAGTATAATCAACCTTGAATTTTTAATTAATTATTGAATTTTTATAAATTAAAATACTCACACAGCTTGAGGTTCTTTGAACTTTCCTACTTGTTGAATGTGAAACATTAAATCTCCTCCGTTGACAAATTCCATAACAAAATATAAGCGATCCTTTATTAAAAAAAAAAGACGCTTAACTTTATAAAAATTTATTTTCAGTTAATGGTTTATAAAACTAAAATTATTCAACTATGAAAATATTTTCATCTTTATTACTCTCCTTCTCCTTTCTTCTGAGTCCTTTCTCAGGCAATATTGTTTCCATTAGTGACTTTAATGCTCATCAAACTGGATGGCTTGGTTCTAGTATTACTAATCTTGTTGGCCTAAAAGTTTTTTTTTTTTTTTAATCTCTTATCCAGATTAACTTTGTGATCCATTTTCCAAAGAAGAAGATTGATTTTATTTTTGTGTCCCGAAAAAACCTGCCCTCAAATTCATTAATGAGTCTGATAAACATACTCTGTCATCTCAAAGAAACAGGTTGATCCACTGTTAAACATCTACCCAAAGAAATAGGTTGATCCACTATTAAGCATCTTGCTTTAGTTGCTAAAATTGTTTCTCACTTAAACAGCTTGTGCTCACTTATACAACTTGTGCTCACTTATACAGCTTGTATAGAACTCATTTGCATTGTCCTGAAGAACTCTTCATTATAACATAAACTCTATAAAAAGTGTTAAACTGATTCTTATTTTCCTGCCTACTGGAAAATGGCATCCTAAAAATGGCATCCTCAGTCCTGTATTGTTCCTTTTCTCTAACTCTACTCCTGATTCCATTATCTACCACTAGAATTATTTAAAAAGTAGTCCAAAAAAATTGCATTGTAAATATTGCCTAATCTGCTCTAGCTGCTAAGATTAAGACAAGAACTAAAGTTGAAGTTGAGCAAATCCGATCAAGGAATATTAATAATATTAACAATAATAATAATGATGATAACGATAAAAGATTTTTATATACAAAGGTAAAGGTATACAAAGATAAAAAGTATAGCTAAAAACTTGGAAAGAATAATAGTTGATTTAAGAGGATTAATTTTTAACAAAGAAATTTTTTTATTTTGACCAAGATTTGGAGAAAACTATACTTGAAAAACTGTAAATTCAATAAACTTAAAATAAAAAAAAATTATTCAAAAATTTTACAATAATGATTTTTTTAAAAATATTTAATTATTTTAAAATATACAAACTTAATATTAATAAAAAAAATTAAATAATTCTTTAAAAAAATAACATTCAAAAACAATTCTTACCACTGTTGTAAAACATGAATGAAGAGCTGTCAAAAAAGTTGGTTTTCCTTGTAAAGCTAATACTCTTTTTTCAGTCAAAACACATTCAAGGTCATCATTTTGGAGAACAACATCTTTCTTTAAAATTTTAATGGCATAAACTTTATCTGAACCTTTCTTTTCAGCTAACATAACCTACAAATAAATTATTTTACATTTAAAAATATCAATACTTAATAAAATCCATTTTTTATAATCTCATAAAAATCAAGGGGTTAACAATCCCAAAATTTTTAGTTTCAATATTTTCTCTTGTGATTGAACTAATTCATTTAATGCATAACAAAATAAAAAATAACTAAAATACAAAAAACTAATGTAAGATTAAAATAAAAAAGTCACAAGAACCTCAAATTGCACAAGCTTTATAAAATTTATTTTGCAAAAATAATATCTTATATATATATAAAGCCTTCTTAGGAGGCGTATGCAGTCGCATGCCTTATATGTCTACACACGACAAAAAAATTTTTTTTTCTTTTACAAAGCAAAAAATAAGTTTGATGAATAGCATTTCTAATTTTGATTTCAAATACGCAATCTATTTTTCACCATCACAACAAGTTGTAAAGATATTTGACTTTAAATCGTTAGCATTTGGGGAAAAAATCCCAAAAATATCCCTAATATTAGCAAATTATTTAAAAGTATGTCAACCTGGATCTCAAAAGAGAAAAAATTTTCATAAAGATTATAAAAATATTTATTTGTACTACAAATTAATACTTTTTATATTATTGCTGAGAAATATTTTGTTAAAACTGTTTTAAGAGTCTTTAGCCTTTTTTCACAATATTTTAAAGTCAATAAATTTTAATTAAACTTATGTTTTCTAAAAGCTTTATGAAAATACGCTTCTTTTGAGACCCAAAGTGACATCTCTAGAGTTAAGCATCTACTTAAAGAACAGTAACTATATTTTAGACATGATGTCATCATATCTCAGACATGATTTTCAATATTTATTGGATATTTCTATGAATTTTGCATTCAAATACAAGCCTTCCCAGGAAAGGCGTGCAGTCTTTTTTCTCGTAGGACCACGAAAACGTTTTTCAAGTTAGAGAACGTCATAACGGCTGTTTGCGCAAGTTATATATGCGTTTCTGAAAAATTGTTTAAATTTAATAACTGCATAAGAAATTAAAATAAACTTAAATAGAAAAAAATAATAATAGTTTAAATAATTTGTGTCGTTTTTAATTTTGTTTTTTCTTAGTGGTTATTATCGGCAACAAAATCCATTAAGTCATTGCAAAAAAAAAAAAAAAAAACTGTTTTAGGCGTTAAAAAGGACGACTTTCCATATTTTATGTGTTTTTTCTTTTAAAGAGGAAAAAGAAAATATGTATCATTATCTGTTTGTAAAATTTATTTGTATATGTAACAAGTTACATATACAAATAAATTTATTATAATGTAACAAGTTTATATCAAGAGTTAAATTATACGACCGCGTTTGCAAACTCTGGTAAAATATTAGTTCTTTAAAATTTTAGTCCATGCAGAGCTGTTAACTTTGTTTATAAGGAGCAAATTATTAAAAGTTTGCTAGCGAGAAAGTTACAAAAAACAAAACAAACTCAATAAACTTACGACTACAAAAGTAATAACACTTTAGTCACTAACTGCATTATAAAAGTAATAAAACTATAATAGTTTTATTACATTTATAAAGCACTTATTACTTTTAAAGTTCATTCTTTGTTCAAACAACATTATTAATTCCAAACATTTATTAAAGTAGAAAAGCATCTAGAAAAAATAAAGCCGATAATCAAATATTATTAAAAACTTCAGGAACTTTCACATACCACTTAAACAACGTTATAAAAGTACTTTATAAAAAATATAGCATTATGAAAAACGTTACGTAAAAATGCGCGTTAATTTAAAAATTAACCAATGAAAAACTTTTATTAGTTAATTTTAAAATTAATGCGTGTTTTTACAGTCCATTAGTAACGTTTTTCATAATGCTTAACTTTTAATAAGATACGTTTTCATAAAGTTGTTTGTCACAATTTTATAAGTTACTTTAGTTTTAATATTATTTGAACATCCACTTTATTCTTCTAGATATTTTTCTACTTCAATTAAAATTTGGGAATACTAATGTTGCTTGAACAAAGAATGAATTTTAAAAGTTATAAGTGCATTATAAAAGTAATAACACTATTATAGTGTTATTACTTTTGGAATGCAGTTAGTGACTAGAGTGTTATTACTTTTGTAATCGTAAGTTTATTGCTTTTTTTTATTTTTTCGCTATTAAATGTAAGTTGATTCTCCCCTTAAAAACAAGGAACACAGTTTTGTATAAACTAAAATTTTGAATACTAGATATTTTTCCAGATTTTGCGTTTTGCATTCAATTAATTCAACCCTTTTTGATACATTAAAATCATACAAATAAATTTTACTAACACATTGCAATTGTATTTTTTCTTTACTCTTAAAAAAAAATTAAGAAAAAGAAAATCATTCTTATTATTGTAGACTTTTTTTTTCTTATTACAAACTTTTTTTTTTTTGCTTTGCCTAATCTAATTTTGTTGCTGAATGTAACTCTAAAAAAACAAAAATAAAAACAGTACACAAATTATTTAAATTAGTAATTTGTTTTCTATTAAATTAGTAATTTTTTTCTATTTCAATCTCTTTTTATTTTGTTAGTTTTGTTTTCTTGTTTTTGAAACTTTTTCAGCATTATTATAAAACTTGCAAACGGCCGTGTTCACGTTTTCTAAAATATTATAATTGCGTGTGGTCATACGAGACGAAAAACCGCACGCCTTTCCTGGGAAGGCTTGAAATAAGTAATAAACAAAAATAAATAATAAAAATAATAATAAACAACCTTTCCAAAACTTCCTTTTCCAATAACTTTTAAGAATGTAAAATCTTCTAACTTCCAATGCTCTTTTAAGGCAGAATTAACTTCATCAGTAATAATTTCCTTTTGTTCAGGTAACACTTGCTGTCGTTTATCAAGCTCCTCTGGATCCATAAACTGAAATACATAAAGAAACAATAATTTTATAAATTAAAAAAGAAAAAACTATAAAATAATAATAAAAATATAAATTAGATGTAAAAAAAAAAAAGCACACACACACACAAAGAAGGCTCAAAGTTTAGCACACCCAAAAGAATGATTATTACAATTACAAGCAGATTCGTAGAAATATATTTTTGTTTATCCAAAGCATAATAAAACTAAAACTCTCAGTAAAAATTACTTTAAATTTTTAGCTAAAATGTTAAATCATAAATGTCGAATAACAATGAACTAAGAAACATTTTATCAAAAACTGTATTTTTCCTTGAGTTAATTATTATAAATTTTAAACTAAAGATTAAAATTATTTTAATCTTTCTGATTTAAACAGCATTAAAATTATATAAAGATTAAATACCTTAAACTTTTTAGCTAAAGCAGCAACTGCAGCATCATCTTGAATGGGAACATTGTAGTACTCACCTTCTTCTGCATTTAAAAGTTTATACCAACCATCAACTTCATCTTTCATTAGCTCACTAACTCCAAATGACATAGATCCCATAAAATCATTTGATGTTGCTAGGTCCCAGTCCCATACTTCAATACATAATCTTTTGTCTTTATCGTTTGGTCCGATTTTACTAAATAAAATGATTTAGCTTTTAATACCTTGCAAGAAAACGAATAAAGTATAGGAAGATAGCTTCAGTACACACATTGACTCTTCTAAAGTCTTAAAGACTTTAGAAAAGTCAACTCAACATTTTACAATGGAACTTTAAATTAGTTCTTATCAAACTTAGAAAATATTATACATGTAGTGTATTTAAAAACTGAATCAACTAAAAAAATAAGTTCGAAAAAAAAAGCGGGGGTGAAGTTGTCTATGTAAAAAAAAAGAGGATGTAAAGCTGTGTATGTAAAGTTAAAATAGAAATAACTCTAAAAAGATAAAAAAAAAAAAAGTAACAATAGTATGGTAAACAACAGAATTATTGGATTTATTTGATACTGAGGTAGAAAAACTCAAGTTAAAAATTAGACACAACAATTTAATAAAATAAAACTTATTTATTTTATTATTATAACATTTTTATTACTACTATTATATTTATTATAATACTATTATTATAATACTTGAAATTGAAAACAAGGCAACAAAATTTACTTAAACAATATATCTTAAATACTTAAATACTTAAACAATATATCTGAATCAGAAACAATAATTGTTGTTTCTACTTTAATTGTTTTTAAATTATTTTATAACATACCCTTTTTGAGAACAAATTTCTTTTTGAATAAAAGCCAAAAGTTTTAAACATCAGTAAAATGCAGAAATGTGGAAATTTTGAATGAGTTAAGTGTAGGAATAAAGTACCGAAATAGGGTTAGGGTCATGGCAGCTTCAGCTCATACATTGACTGCTTTCGGGACTATACACAAAAGGTGCTGCTACATAGACTTAGGATTTGGGTAGGGGTAGAAATAGGGTTAAAGTAAGGAAAAACTTTCGGTACTTTACTTTAGCTTTTTAGTGTTGAAAATATTTCCACATTTCCTTATTTTACCATGTCCCAAATTGTTACATGAAATATATTGTGGGTAGGGATTGTAAATTCAAAAACTTTTTGCTTTCCCACACTAGTGTGTGTGACTAGGATTACTATTGTCAAGGATATGACTGTTTCTGTTGAACTTTTAATTATGGGGAAAAGCCTGACAGTTATTTTATTAGTTAAATCTATCATCACTGTTTTAGATGGTATGAAAAATAAGTCATTAATTATGTCACTTAAATTTTAATAAGCTAAGAAGATCCTTTTTCCTTCTTCGACATATGCTTTCCAATAGAACATTATTAAGATCCTCTGCAAAATTGATTCTGCAAAATAACAATTTTGAACATCAAGTTCTTTAACAATCAAATTTAATGTGTCATCAGCTGTTATTTGTCATTAAGATTTTTAACTTTTTTATTTTTAAATTACATCAACTACAGTTAAATGTATTTCATGTGCAAAACAATGTTGATATTCAATTAAATATTTCCTAATTTTTATATGATATTCCTTGTAAAACACTGGAACTTAGAAATTTAAAAAACAATAATTATGCATTTATGCATTATCATTTATCTATTATTTTTGTTCAACAAAATAAAGCACAAACTATCAAATATGTAAACATGCTAAAAAATGGGTTTCCAATAAGTCAAAAAAATTTGCCCTGTTTTAAACAATTTTAAAAAATAATTTAAACTAAGTTTCTAAAGAAGATCATGACTGTTTAGAACATTCTATTCAAAAAGCAGAAGGATAGAAGAAGATCAGGTTGTCACCTAAATATTAGGATATGAATAAAAAGCTTATCTTGAGCTGTACAATTTGTACAAGCATGCAACTTTAGTGTGATATTTTATTTTTAATAAGCATGAAAAAACACCTCATAAATAAAATTTTGGACAAAATTTAAAAATTAATATTTTAAAAACTAATAAGTTTTATTATTTAATATTTCAACTGTTAATATGTTAGTATATGCAGTTTATAAATATATTTAAATAATTATTTCAAATACCATATTTAGCAACATTATAAATTTTTTTTGAAAGATGTTTTATTTGAGTAAGGAAAATTTCAAGCTCTTCCAAATTCTCAGCTCTCCAATTATTCTCGTACACTAGCCGTTTTCTCTGGAACGTTAGCTGGGTTTATATCTTTGGGTACAACTTTGATTTTTTTCAATTTTAAAAAGTTGATGACCGACTTTGCGTAATGTGATCGAGCTAGATCAGGCCAGGAGATAAACTCATTGTCTTTTTTATAATATTCTGATACTAGAAGAAGTAAAGTTTTTTCTAGTATCTCTTTATAATTGTACTGGTTGGTTGCCTGCTTACTGTGATGAATATAAAGAGGGCTTATTCCACGGGGGCTAATGCAAAAAGAAACTAAGAGCTTGTACTTTTTACGCAAATTGTATCTTACTTCGTCAGAACATTGAGAAGGATCAGTGGCATAAAACCTATCATTACCAGCTAATGTGCTATTGTTTAAGATAAAATAGCTTACATCATCCATAACAAAATCCAAGTTTTTATAATATTCGTAGAATTTACGACATTTAGGACGCATAGCTTTCTTCTGCTGATGGCTACGATCTGGTCTATTTGTTTTTTTGAAAGTTCGAATGTTAGCCATTGTTTTTAATACTTGGGAAATTCGAGTTTGACTACAGTTAAAAACTTGAGCTAATTTCTTTTGTGACCACCCTGACATATTTTCAAAAAATGCAGCAATCTTTGGAATATTTTCTTTAGTAGCTGCTACCTTAGCGATTCGACCACTCCCAACTTTTCTTTTTAGAGATCCATTCTCCAATTTTACGATTTTATCGTTAGCAGTTGATCTGGGTAAACCCCATTCCATAAGCTGCTTAGCAACAAATGCTTTATCTTTTTCTTGATTTTTTCGGAAAAAAATTTCCATCATTTTTTCGAGGTCTTTTATTTTGACCATTTTATTTTCAATATTTAAATAATATTTTTAATTGAATTAAATTAAATTTAAATATATTATAAAATTTTTTATAATATATTTAAATTTATATATTATAAAGGTTTTTTGTGTGCATAAAATAAATTACATAATAAATGCAATTAAAATTTGTCCAAAACTTTATTTATAGGGTGTTAAGAATAAATTTAGCTTATTACAATCTGTAATGAAAGAGAATTTAATGATTTATTAAATAAGCCAGGGTAACTTTTTGATATTAATGAAGCTGGTTGCAACTAAAGTATTGCCATTGTCAAGTAAATGCAGAAAAGTAAAAATTAATCAGTACCCTAGATCAGCGGAGAAGGAAAAAACAAATGCCTGTTAGAATGATAATTCATTATTACCATGCATGTGTAATGAAATAAAAATATATATAAAAAAGAGTATCAAGATGAAATACCAGGTAGAGATTGCATTTTTATGCCAAAATAATCAGCATATGTTACTAGTGATATTGTTATTCATTGGCATAAATCCATTTTTTCTTTACAGACTTAGGAGGAAATTTCTTTTCACCTCAAACAATTTCATGTCTACTAATTAAACTATATATTTTTTCCAAATATTTATTGTACAAAAGTTACATAATTAGTTATATAAAAATAATTAAAAAATACTTAATAATACAGTAAACATTATAATAGAAACTAGTACTATTATTCTGAAAAGACTGTATGCTATAAAGGTAGAAAAAACTAGTAACAATTTGTTATCTAAATATGCTATAGTAGATACATATATACAAACATAAATATATACATTATAAGAATATATATATATATATATATATATATATATATATATATATATATATATATATATATATATATTATATATATATATATATATATATATATATATATATATATATATAGAACAAAATTTAGCTGACCTTAGACACTTTAGAATTTGCAGTTAGGTCAAAACTGCTAACTCTAAATCTGAGGGCTGTAAATATCTAATATATTACAGCCCTTTGAATAATAGTCAGAATTTGATAATGCCAACCTAAAAGTGTTTGAGGTCAGCAAAAAATTGCTGATTTTGTTTTTATGTTTTATGGTAAAACCTTAGTGTCAAAATTTTTTCCGACTTAATGCCAACCTATAACACAATAATAAAAGTTATAATATAACATTAGTGATTGCTTGCTTACAATTAAAAATTTGTATTTTCAAATAAATTGATTAGTGTTATCCTTCTGCTTTTTGAATGGAACTCTTTATTATTGTTCATAATAAAACAGTTTATTGCTGACCTTATTTTTCCTAATTCTGAAGGCTGATATCAAAATAATGGTTTTTATTGAGGTTTGGAACGAAAAATTGTTTAGTAGTTGGTAAGTAGATGTTAGTTATTTTGTAGTAAGTAATAAAAAAAATATTACAAAACCCTTAATAAAATAAAACAAATAAAATGTGTATGTATAAACATAAACATTAAAGAGAAATATTTTAAAGTAAATCTTACTAAACAAATTTTTCGTTCCACACAGGGTTCAAGCACTTGCGAATGGTCTTTGTTTTTTGCTTGTTTTGTGTTGTATCAGGTAGCAACTTTAATTTTACATAAGGATCAGATTGACCATTTGGATCCATCGGAATAAGATTTTTGGCTTCAAAAACTTAAAAAGATTTTTTTTTTAATTACTCAATAACTTTAAAAAAAAGAGAAAATATCTGTTATAACATAATAACATTTAATTGCAAAATTTGGAATAATAATAAAAAAAATAAAGAATCAAAGCAATTTTTATGTTTTCTTAAAGTGTTTAATAAAAAACTCAAAATTAGATGATTTAATATTAAACATGTTAAGATTATATGAAACGAAGTAACATATGCTTTTCTACTGAACGCACACACATTTTTAAAAAAAATGATATATATATACACACACACACATTAAAATATAAACAAACATTAAATATAAACGCAATAAAAAGCTCTTACTGTCTATAGTCAAGGCACCTTCTTCCCCTTTTTGAGAAAAATTTATTTTTAAACGAATTCTTCCACGCTTTTCAGTGTGATCAGCTCCACATAACTTTGGTATACAGCCTGATTTCTCACATCGCTTGTGAACATTCATGTCACAGGCTGAAATATGTTTAATTGGAAGAAAAAAATAAAATAAAAAAAAAATAAAAATATAATCAACTTCCTAACACATTTAAAAAAAAAACATGTAAAACTAATTAACCTCCGCATTTTAACCCTTGGTGAAATAAACCATACAACAGTGTTCCACAATGGTCACAAAAGGTAGGACTAGAATATGTGTGAACTTTGAACTTATGAGGATTTTGAGGAGCCTGAATAAAAAAATAAAATACTACTAAAAACTAATGAACAAAATAAGACTAAAAAAGATAAAAATAAATAACCTGCTATGTGTTAAAGGAATTGCTGTTAAATGTTTGATATTTGTTGCTAGATTCTTTTGGGCAAAATTTAACAATACTTATAAAAAAAAAATACTTTTTTTAAAATATAAATGTATAATATAAATAAACACTGTTTAAAAGTACAATACTCACATCTGATTCAGGTCCAGTATCTGCACCAGGACACTTAAATGAAACATACTCATGGCACCGCTTGTGAACACCAAAACTACACACTGAAATAAGAAATAGCACTACTTCAAAATAATTCAGATAATATTCACAAGAATAAGACAAGATAATATAACAAAAAAAAAAAAAAAAAAAAAAAAAAGAGGATGAGAGAAAAAAAAAAAAAAAAGAGGATGGAACATCTAATGTTTACTAGGATCAAAAATGATGATCCTAGTAAACACAAGACGTGTTTTAGACGTCTAAAAATGTCTTAGACGTTTAAAAATATTTTAGACATCTTAAAAAGTTTTAGACGTCTAAAAATGTATTAATATGTATTAAAACGTATTATGTGTTGTTTTTAGTGAGATGTCATTACCATTGGTTTTTTTATTAAAAAAATTTGATTCTATGTCAGAGGTATAACATTTTGGTCAACCAGCGGTACATGATGCAAAGGGCAACTAAAATTTAGAAAAAAAAATAACAAGTCAGTAGCACAGCAGGGTGATCAGACAGGTATTACTTACAAAAGAGTGTTTAATAATAAAACCATATTTTGAACTATAAAGTTGGCCACTTATTATTCATTTCAGTTATACTATTATACTGAAGGTAATAAAAAAAGCTGACATGAATTAAATTAGACACAAATTAGAAAGTGCAACTATGTTTTAAAAAAAAATTCCAGTCACATTTTAAAGCACATTTTCTTTTCAATTCAAAAGGTGTTTCCAAATCACACTTTCTTTTAATTCAAAACTCAAACTTAATATACTTTTTAAACATTATAGTCAGATTTTAAAGGGTTTTCTTTCAATTCAAGATGCATTTCAAAATCACATTTTCTTTAATTAGAAAATGCAAATTATTACATTGATTGTGAATTATCAATAAAGCTAAGCTATTTTTTAAATTTAAGTTTAAATTAAAATGAATTTTTATTTAAACTTTGTCAAACATTAACAGATTAAACTTTGTTAACAATGCACATGGAAATATTATTCTAATAAAAAAAAAAGTTATTGTTTTTAAAAAACTTTTAAATTAAAAACATAACTAGTTGAAACTGATTAAAGATCAAACAAGAACAATCAAAAATTTGTTAGCATTTTTTATTAAATTATTTATTTTTAATTAAACAGTTTATTATTAGTAGTACTTAAGTAGTCCAATATTTTAATTAATTTTTTCAATTTTATTCCTCCATAATTAAGAAAGCTGCCAAAAAAAAAAAAAAAAAAATTAAATTACCAAACTACTAATAATCAAAGCGAACAACTCCACAGTGGTTAGAAATGTCTGAAAATGCAAATTAATTCAAAATTGCTATTTTTAAACAACACATTCAGTTTCAATATTAAAACATTTTTTAAACCTCTGAGGAGGTTTAAAAAATGTTTTGGAATTGAAACCTACATTATTTCTTTATAGGTCTCTGAATTTCTTAAACAAATTAGTTGATGCCAAAATTAGTTGATGCCAAAATTAGTTGTAGGCCATTCATCTTTCGGAAAATTCAGCGTGGGTACCAAATGCAAAATCTCTTTGATCTAACTGTACAAAGGATTTTAGATAAAAATCAACTTATTGCAATGATGGCAGAGAACAGCAATAACATTGAGTACGATAACTTATTCTTTACTTCAAGTTTGGTTTTTACGTCTGTGGATCATTCAACACTTTTCATCAAAAAGATTCCAATAAAAAGATCCCAGATATTAGTATCTTAACTGTGAGTCAACTTGTGCTATTGCAAGTCATTGATGTCAATTGTCCATAAAGGATAGTGTACCTCAACCTAACTCAAAATTCTGCACAGTCATGTCGGCAATTGCAAATTGCACATGAAAAGAAGTCAAAAAAGGCCATCAAAAATAAGTCTGTAAGGAACAAACAGAACTTTTGTTATGCATATTGTCAGAAAGCCCAAGAGTGCAAGTCACCTAACATGGACTTTTAAAAATGATTGACAGAAAGGTTCTCCAAAAAATGACAGACTGTCCAGTATCATCATCATGCTCCATATGCCATAAGGCTTGTAGAAAAATTGCCAAACCAGATAGAGATTTTACCCTTGCACCAGGAGCATTGGACTTTAGAGCATCAGTTTTGCATTTTGGTTTGCAAGCTTTTGACAGTCTTTGTCATATTGGCTACCACCAAGATGTAAAAAAATGTTGTAAGCGTTTGACACCTGCAGAAAAAGTGACCATTGCAACCACACAAGAACGTGTGAAAGCTTAGTTTGCTGAAAAATTGGCAATCATTGTTGATAAAAGAGATGATGGTACTGGAACTACTTCTACTGGCAATGTTGCCAGAATTGCCTTTGACAACCCTGCAATTACAGCAGATATTTGCAATGTCCCTGGTAAACTTGTTGAAAACCTTGCTATCATTTGGGGGGCACTGTCAAGTGGATTTGCTATCAATGCAACAAAGTTTGCTGAGCTTTGCAAAAAAACTGAAAATATTTATTTTCATCAGGAGGACAACTGTGATATGTATTTTTTACCTTCAACAGTGATAAAGGAAAAAATTTAACTGACAACTGCCCACTTCCGATTGGAAGCTAATAACAAGTTCCTAAGAAACTTTTAATTGCATCATACCAGGAAGGCTTTATAGGCTCAAAGCATCACTGAGATGTTCCACAAGCTCACAGATTTGACCATCCAAAGATTCAAGAACCTTGTGTTGTAAAACACCAAAGATTCAAAAAGAAGAGGAAAATGCCACCACGCCTTATTGACTTACTTGAATGTATTGAACCAACCAAGCTCACGGTTAGCACGGATCCTTATAATGCCACCTAGCTGTCCCAAGAACGCCACTTATACGGAAAGTTAGCGAGCACATCAAGGTACCCTGTGATGCAAATTTTGAAATCATTTAATTTTGTCTGCGGAAAATGATTTAGTTTTAATGTTCAAATTAAGTCAAATTTTAACTTCATAGTGCGCCAATAAAAAAACTTGTAGAATTTGAACCACTCAATATAATTTGATAAAAATTGGTCACACCAAACTCTGGACAAAATTTCAGCCTGATTGGATGACTGGTGTAGGATTTATTGCAGTTTTAGTTGATGTTTTGTCAGTTTTTTGCTACTTATACCTCAAATCGTTACTGATTACTTTGAAATTTGGTCACTATTTTTAAAACAACGTTTTAAAAATAGTGACCAAATTTGAGTTGACACCAAATTGAGTGTTCTGCTATGTAATACCAACAATTTTTGTTATAATTATTATATCGGTACATGTACAGTTTTCATTTTATAGGCTAAAATAGTGATTTGTTACTTAAAGCGTGATTTGAATTGGCTTATGCCAATGGCGTTGACACGTCCTTCAAAGTGGAGGGGGTCAACCCCTCAATTTCTAAAACAAAATCCATAATTTCTAAAATAATTGCCTTTATTTCTAAAACAAAAGGTCCTTGCAAAAAAAAGGTGGGCAGGCCATGGCTCCCTTGACCGCCATGTATGCATAGCATGAATATACCAACATTTCCTAAGGTATAAACTACTGCCAGAATGCAAAAAAATTCTAAAAAAATGGTTGAGAAGGATTTCTAGGGATACCTACATAGAAAATAAAAATATTTATTAATCTGAAAACAGAACAACTGTGAAAAAACCAAATATTTTATATATTGACAAAGATAATTGACTTAAAAAATTTAGTTAAGTTAACTAAGATATCTGACCAATACAAAGTTTGGAGGGCCAGTCGGAGGAAAATTACTCTAACTGAATAACTAATTAGGTTGAAGGGTTGTTTTGAATAAAAACAAATCGTGGAACAAGTATAATTAGTTTAATAAGTGTAACAATTATCAATAATGTAATTTCCTTTCAAGTAAATAGTTTAAACAACTGTTTCCTGGTAAGGAAAGAACTATTCAAGAATTATTTCCCTGTAATTTAATATTACCTTAATTAAATCAAGTAAATATTTCCTTTACTTTAATAGTTTTTAATTAATAATATATTTTACTCTGTTAAGTGGATTGTTACCAAATATAAATTTAGGTCAAATTTTGTAAAAGGCAGAGTTTGATTTAGTGAAGTCAAATTTAGTGAATTGCCACGATGCCAAACCAAGCAAAGAATCATGATGAAAATCGAAAGTTTGTGTGCTTGCTCTGTCTGAAAAAATGTACCAAACATGGTTCCCAATATTGTGTGCATATTCGAAGCATTCAAACGCTTCACTTTAGTTGTCAAAGGTTGCTTTGGATACATCCTTCAGCCGGATTTTGCTGAAAAATTAAAAATTCCAAAAAGTGTTACCTAATGATAACTGGTGCAAGCATAGCACCCAAAATTCATGCCATCTTCTACAACATCAAGGATTTCATCAGTCACAAAGGATCCCCCTTGGGGCCCTATAGTGAACAAAATGTCGAAACTTCTCATCAAGATTTTTATCAACATTGGTCGAGGTATAAGCGAAATAATAATCATCCAGAGTACAAAGAAAGATTGTTGTGCTGCATAATTGATCTAAACAGTAAGCATCTTTAAAGAACATCATTTGAGTTATTAGAAATTAGGCTGCTGAAATTCATATTTTACGGCGTATAATGAATATTTTCACCATCTTTAAAAGTAGTATTATAGAGTATTTGTATTAAAAAAGTGCATTGAGCTATTTATTAATAATCTTTTGGTGGAGAAAATCAAAAAAAAAAACATTTCTTAAAATGTAATTAGATATTTGATGGTAATACAATGTAAAAAATAGGGTTTAAATAGTTTTCACTTCATTCTAAAAGTAAATGTATTTAGAGAGGTCAATACAAAATATAGATAGGAGATCTACTTTTTTGTTTTGTTTTACTAACTGGTAGTCCTTTGACCAGGTTTTGCACTTTTTTTTAGCTTTTTTTTTTGGCAGCAGTTTATACCTTAGGAAATATTGGTATATTCAAGCGAAGCATACATGGCCGTCAACGCCGGGGAGGCTAGGGGTCATGTCCTTCTCTAGTTTTTTTTTGCGAGGACCTTTTGTTTTAAAAATATAGGCAATTATTTTAGAAATTATAGATTTTATTTTAGAAATTGAGGGGTTGATCCCCTCCACTTTGAAGGCTGTGTCAAGGCCATTGGCATAAGCCAATTCAAATCACGCTTTAAGTAGCAAATGATTTGCTATTTAAAGCGTGATGATATTAAATTTATGATGATATTTTGATAATATTAAATTTATAACAAACGACACTGAAAACCATTTCAATAAACAGAAATAAAGTATCAGTAAACACGTTTATAATATTTATATAGTACAGTATATATAATATATCCTTAACTGTTTTGTAGGAACATCAAGCCATTCTGGTGAATATATGGCAAATGAAATAAAGAAAGTTTTAGAAGAAATAAATCCTGACAAAGTTTTGCATTGTGACTGACAATGCTGCAAATATGAAAAATGCATGGACTTGTCTAAAAGATTGTTATCCCCATCTTCATTGCTATGGATGCATTTCACATGGTTTAAATTTGCTGTTTACAGACTTTTTAAAATTGGCAACTTTAAGTGTTTTGATGTCACAAGCAACTGGTATTGTTAAAGAGATAAAAAATTCTCATTTATCTGTTGCAGCATTTAGAGATATACAAAAAAAGTCAGCTGGTGTAGTAACATGCATTACATTGAAACTACCAGTACGAACTAGGTAATACAATAAAAGCATAAATATACAGTACATTACAAAAAAAAATTGAATTATGTAACTAAATTTATTATACATTCATAAAAATAGATTTCATTTAGTAAATTACTTTAATCAAAATTTGTTTAAGTTATTGCAATTTTTGTGTGTTTTATTTAAAGGTGGGGATCAACTGTAGAATGCTTAGATAGCATACAGAAAAATAAGCAACCATTAAAAACATTGGCTATTTCTGAAAACAGTGGGCTTAATTCAGCAACAAAAAATATTCTTCTATCAGATATTTTTTGGGACAGGGTTGAAGGTTTTTTCAAATTGCTGTCACCAATAGCTGATGCAATAAAGAAAACTGAATCAAATGCTCCCATGTTATCTACTGTTGTGGAAACTTTTCACTTCTTGGAAGATCACATTTTGAAAAATTTAACAGTTAGCCCATTCTCAAAAAAGGAAGAAGAAGAAGCCAAAAAGATCTTCAAAAAAAGAAAAGAATGATGTTTAACAGAAATTCACAATTCGCAGCCAATATACTAGATCCCAAATTTCAAGGCAGAGTCTTGATTGGAGAACAAAAGGTATTTCCTACACATAATTCATATATGATTCTTAAAATCAAATACCTTGTGCATTAAAAGTAAAATTTTTGAAAATTTTTGAATTTTTTAAAATACTATTTTCAAGTTTGAAAATACTATTTAAAATAATAAAGTAAATATAAATTAAAAGAAAAATCTGTTTATAGATTGATGCATGTGAGGTAATACATAACATTGCTGGAAGTATGCCTGAAGTAAACAAAGAAATTACGATGTATGATTTGGCTAATTACCAATCAAAGGGTGGTATATTTTCAAAACCCTTTATTTAGACTGCAGTTGGAATAACTCAACCTATAAATTGGTGGAAAGGGTTGTGTTCCTTTACTGAATTATCAAAAGTTGCATCTAGAATTCTTCAGCTACCAGCTTCAAGTGCAGCATGTGAGAGAAGTTTTAGCACTTATTCTAACATTCATAGTGCAAAAAGTAATCGTTTAACGACTGAAAGAGCTGGAAAACTAGTTTTCATTTCACAAAATTTAAAACTTGAAAATATTGAAAAAACCAGTTATCAAAATGGTACAAGCATAACTACTCCTCCAATTAATAACTCGAGTTTAAATAAAGTTCTAAGCACTTCAACGCCTTGGTCAGAGTCTGAAGCGGTTAATATAGAAAGTGACAGTGACTTTGTTTATGAATCATTAGATGAAGGTAGTCTTGGGCAGGAAGACTCGGACTGAAAGAATATCTTTTATAGTTTAAATACATGATAAAATTACTAAATTATTGGCTTTTTTGCTTAAATATTTATACTTTTTTTTAATTGTGTATATACTACACTACACAGTGCTACACTACTTAGCACTGAATTAATTACCAATTTAAACTAATAAAACATAATTATTCAAAAATAATTTACAATTTCATGTAAATTAATTATAAAGTTAGAGCTTTTCTTATAAGGGCTTACTGGCAATATAATTCAACATATGTAACAAACAATGCAAGTTTTTTATTAAAACATTAATTTTAAATTGGTGTTTATACATTGTATTTGTGGTTATAATGATCATATACTATAAATAAACAGAAAAAAACAAAAACTCTTCCAAATTATTTACCAAGAAAAATAAAAAACTTGTTTAAAAAGTCAAAAAAAAAAAAAAAAAAAAAAAAAACCAAAAAACAACAAAAAAAAACAACAAAAAAAAAAAAAAAAAACGCAAGAGGAAAAAAACGCTTTTTTTGCAACTCTAAGCAAACCACTATTTTGGTCTATAAAATGAAAACTGTACATGTATCAATAAAATAATTATAACAAAAATTGTTGGTGTTCTGCCACAAATTGGAACAGAACACTCATGTAACCGTTGTTTTAAAAATAGTGACCGAATTTCAAAGTAATCAGTAACGATTTGAGGTATAAGTAGCAAAACACTGACAAAACTTCAACTAAAACTGCAATAAATTCTACACCAGTCATCTAATCAGGCTGAAATTTTGTCCAGAGTTTGGTGCGATTATTGGCTACATTTGCACCAATTTTTATCAAATTATATTGAGTGGTTCAAATTCTACAAGTTTTTTTATTGGCCCACTTTGAAGTCAAAATTTGACTTAATTTGAACATTCAAATTAAATTATTTTCCGCGGACAAAATTAAATGATTTCAAAATTTGCATCACAGGGTACCTTGATGTATACGCTAACTTTCCATATAAGTGGCGTTCTTGGGATAGCTAGGTAGGCTTTATAAGGATCCGTGCTAACCGTGAGCTGGGCTCATGTGATGATGGTGATTATGATTAATTTATTGAGATAAGAAATAAATTTTTTTAAATAAATTTTTTGTGACCATTAAAAGTGAAGCGTTTTTTCAATGTAATATTCAAAAATATTTTCATGAGCACATGTGTTATTCAATTTTTTTATTTCTATCCAATTTTATTCATTTTGAGTTTAAATGGGTAAACCCAATTATTTTATCGAATATCCAATACTTCTTTCCTAAAAAGTATTTTAAAATTTGCGAGTTTTATGCATTGGAGAAGAAAAATGAATTAATTTGCATTTTCAGACGTTTTTGACCACTGTGAACTCAAGTAAGGCATGAGCAACATTTTAGAATTGACAGAAGTTTAAACAGAATAATACTTTTTATACCATTTTATTAATTATATTAACTTAATTTATATATTAAAATAACAAAAAATTAGATACAAATTAAAACTATAGAAAACTATACAAAACAAATTTTATTACCTTTGCATTGAAAGCCATTATTTCCTACTATGCCCCTTTAACAAATAAAATATATATATATATATATATATATATATATATATATATATATATATATATATATATATATATATATATATATATATATATATATATATATATATGTAAAATTGAAAATAGAATCAAGTACAAAATAACACCAAAAACATGTAAAGGGGGAAAATGGGTCCAATCTGTTATTTGACACCATTAAAACAAATTTTCTTGCAATAAAATGGGACCAGGTCAAAAAATATCAAAAATAAAACCTAAAAAATTTAAATGGAAAGTTTAAGAAGAAATCTGAAATTGATTTAATAAATAAGGACTTAAGAAAGAAAGATCAAATTTAGACAATAGTAAGTCTAATACTGGCATACATAATTTTTAGATCTATGCAACCAATTAAATGAGGGGAAAATTTTTTTTCAACATGAACTATAGAAGACCATGGAAAAGTAACTTTATGCATACATATAATTAAACTGAAGATAAAAATAAGAATAAAGTTTAGCTAAAGTTTTTTTTATTTTAATGAAAAAATAGTAATAAAAGAACTTTTATTGATGTCTATTAATTGAATTTATCTATTTATCAAGCAAGATGTTGATATATTGGTTGACATTGGTTAGGTCTCCATTACTAAATGTTGGACCCTAGTTCTGAAGGCTGTATAAACATAATTGTATGAACATAAATGGGACTACAAGGTTATTTTCAACGGATGGATCAACTTGTATTATATAGTTAAAGATATATATATATATATATATATATATATATATATATATATATATATATATATATATATATATATATATATATATATATACCAGGCTTTCCCAGGAAAGGCATGCGGTCGCACACCTTGTTTGTCCATGCATAGAATAAATTTTTCAGAAAACGTGACCGCGGCAATATTTCGTAGGAAAGCGGAACTTATCTACAGAGAATAAAAATAGTATTAAAAAAAGGAAACAAAGTCTAAACAAAGTATAAAATTGAAATTGGATGTAAGAAAAATATTTTGATAATAAAAAAAAAAATTAAAAAAAAAAAAAAAGTCCTGAACATTTTTTTCAAAGTTTTTATACTGTTTTTGTTTTCTTTTATTAGGGTTGCTATTTTCAGCTACGAAATTTGATACAAGTCAAGGAAAAGGCGACAATAAATCATAAAGTTTTCACGAAAATAAAAATTTATTCACTAACTTTATTAGATAATGTATTAAAAAACTGATTCATTATTTACGCTAGACAAATTTGATTAAATTTTTTCATTTAATTTAGTTTTTACGAAGGTTTATGCAAAGACGATGACGTTATTCCCCAATACTTAGACAAGAAAATAAATTGCTGTTTTAATTATTAAATATATTATTTGAGATTTTAAAGATAACAAAATTTTAGTGTGAAAAAAGTTCTCTCTCGACTTATTCTAAACTGATTATACTGAGTCAATGCTCGCCTTTTGTTACGTTGAAATTATTCATTTGCATAATTTTGTAATTACGAAAGAAGTTAAAAAAATAACTGCATTGCTTCTGTTGTCATTGTTACGAAAACAGTTCCTTCGGGACATTATTATATATTAACACTTGTTCACAAAGTCAATTAATGATTGCAAAATAAGCAACCCAATCGTTTGACAATAAAATTTTCTTTCATTTAAAAATTGAAAAAAAAACATATTTTACAAATAAATAGCAATCGTTTTCGCGCTTTCTTGCGTATCATTACATTTAAACATTTAAATGTATTTACGAAACATTTAAAAATTAATTAAAGTTCTATCGTGAATTTTAAAGTATTACTGACTGATAAAAGTCATAAACAAGTTTTACATTAAAAGGTCCTTTTATTTTCATTAATCAATAATCTTTTTCTTTTTGATTTGATTTTTGTTATTGATTTTATTTTTTTTATTGATTTGATTTTTCATAGCTAAAATAACTACTGCCCTAAAAAACAAAAACAAAAAAATAAATAAAATATAGGTAAATTTTTTTTTAATAATATACATTAATTTTTAAATTTGAAAGCACAAACAGATTTCTTTTATTTACTTTAAGATTGCTTGCATTTTTGCGGTATTTTCATTTAGCTTTGTTTTGGCGCAAATTCTTGAAGCGCATAATAAAACGTGGTCAGTTAGTCAGAAAAATTTATTCTATGCGTTGACAAACAAGGCGTGCGACCGCACGCCTTTTCTGGGAAAGCCTGATATACATATTTTTGTCATAAAGTTTATTTATCTTTTTTTTTTTTTTTTTGTAATTCACCTCCCCAAGGCCGAGAAAGCCACTACAGATGAGGAGGCTACTTGTGGTTATAACCCTCTCTCAACTCTTAACACCAACCTTGACAAACAAGGCCGCTGGGCAGAGAAACAAGTTGAGCGCGGTACTACCAGGGACGTGGTGGGAATCAAACTCGGAACCTCTTGTATTTTACAACAACATAATTTTTAATCTCTATAAAAATGAAAAATTCTATGAAAACTGAGTCAACATATTCTTATGGATGACTATGCAGAGTCATCCATAAGATTATGGTGACTCTAATATTTATAGTAAGCATGCAATTTTTAATACCGCTTCAACTGATTGGTTTAAGTGCTTTAAAATAATGATTTTAATTTTTAAGACAAAGAACATTCAGGGATGCCACAAAAGTTTAAAGATAAAGAATTGGGCGCATTACTCAATGTGTAGTGAAACACTTTTAAATTTAAAAAAAAAAAAAAACATTAATTTTATGCTTTTATTATTTCTGGTTTATATTTTATTTGTTTTATCATTTGTTAAGATTTTGTTTCTGTTTTCAGTTTATGGTTTATTTTCTCTTCCGTTTAGTTTAGATTTTTCAGCACATTTTAAAACACACAAATTATCAAAACATGCAGAGTCGTGGCCAAGTTGTCAAAACAAAATATTATATGTGTTGTCAGTATGTATACATATATATATATATATATATATATATATATATATATATATATATATATATATATATATATATATATATATATATATATATATATTTAGTTAAAAAAGCTTATGGCGAAATAAAATGATTATGACAATATGTTAAGATATTGTAATAGTTTTATTTATTACGCAATGTTTTATGTCATATCATATATACATCCAAGAAACAATCGTCAGCAACTGTTGTTTTTCTGATATATATTTATTCATCGTAATGTTTGTGCTCAACACTTTTCGCACTCGATTGCAAAACTTAGGAAATAACATAAAAAAAGCATTTTTTTATTGCAAGAAAATCTTTTTTGCTCATCAAACACTTTTATGTATAAGTTATTTTATTGAGAATTCAAATAAAACATAGCTGTATTGTTTTCCTTTTAATTATTTTATTTAGAGTTCATATTTTTTTTTTTTTTTTTAATTTTACTTATTTTAATTTAGAATTTGAAAAAAAAAATTGCTCCTTTTGATGTACCTATTTTAAATATTTCATTTAAATCACTTTATATTATTGCTTAACTTAATGCTGCTGCTCACCATTCGTGCGCGTTTTTACACAGAGTTTTATGAGCATGCTTGGCCTTTTAGATATTTCTCTTTATATATTTTTGACCACCCGATGAGCTACTCTTGAATCTTAATAATCTGTTAATATCTGCTTAATCAGTAATAAGATCGAAAACTTTGCTTCATCAGCTTAATTAGTAGTAAGATGGAAATATTTTAATTTTTAAATTAAAAGACAATGATGACTCTAAAAGACGATACTCATTTCAAGAGGTCAAACTCTTGATAAAGTTAGTGTTTCTGGTTTATAATTTATTTGTTTTATCATATATATACATATAATACCTTACTTTAAAGAAGTTAAAAAAAAATCTGTTTGCTTTTATATAAAAAACCAGATTGTTTGTTTTTCCAAGTTGTTTAACATTTATTATACGAGGTATGTCATTAAACAAATATTACAAAAGTTTCTAAATTATATATATTTTTTGATTTATATATCTTTATTATATTATTTATTTATATTTATGTGTTATTTATGTTTATGTATTAAGGTTATATATTATGTGTTATTTATGTTTATGTATTAAAGTTATATGGGTTTATATTTTGTAAATGTGTAAATATCATTTATGCATTTGTAAATATCTTTTCAAATTGTTGTGACTTAGTCTATGGCTTAGTTTACAGCAAGAGTGTTGATTTTGCTAGGTAAAGGGTTTACTGTGTTATAATGTGATTTGGCTTTGTTGGGAGCAAGATTGTTGTCTATGCCAGTTAAGTAGTGTACTGTTATGATGAAATACATAAATTAATAGTTTTGTATTTACTATTATTAGTTTTGTATTTACTTATTAATTGCAAATCTTGCATTAAATGTGTTTCAAAGTAATGAAAGGGATTTTTTGACAAAGGATTACACTTGATTGTTTAATGCTAGCAGTATTTGCTGAGCAGACATCCCTTATAATTTTTTTCAATTTGTTTCATTTATGAGTTCTTATCTGTAAAAATTCTGTAACTTACATTAATTACTTTTTATTGTTTTTTTGATCAAATACTAATCATATTTTGTCAATAATTATTAATGACTACATTAAATATATAACATTACTCAGTAATCAATTAATCAATTTCATATCAATTTATATATAATTTTAGTTTATATTGTTGATAGAATCATTTCGTTACACATTGCTATTTTAGATAAGTTAAGAAAGAAAAAGAAAAGTTTAATCCTGAAATAAAAGTGCAAATTTTATTATATTAGGCATCAATTTTACACACTTCTTTGATGCTTAGTTATGTCGATAACTAAAGAAGTAAAATTATAAGGCTTCGTTGAAATTAAAGGAAAAAGGCTAGGCAAAATGAATTTAACCATCGCCAAAATAAAAGAGATGAGCCCAGGTGAGCAGAAATAAACTGCGGTAGAAATAAAAGATATCATGATAGATGTTATAATTGCTTTTTACCTTTTGCTTCCTTAACAGCCAAAATACCTCACCCAACAAATAGTTG